ATTGAAGATTTTACATAAAAAAGAGAAAATAAAAAATATGAAGAAACCAGGCAAAACTATAGAAAATAAAACTAACATAAACAAATGAGACTAGAAGAAAAGATCTAAAATTTGAGACTGGCTGAAGGATTCTCCTCCTGAGACAAGGAAGATATAGTACAATGAGGAAAAAAGGCAATCTGTTTTAAAAAACATCAAAGACACAGATGCAAAACCTAATTCTACTGAGTCTGTACTTCTTTTCTAAAAAGTAATAATGTGGTTATTTGAAATTAGTTTCAAGACATAATCAAAATGGATTTCAAACTTTTTGTGACAATGGCTTCTAAAAAATGAAATATTAAATCAGGAATAAATAGTCATATAAAAATATAAGTAATTAAACAACATATTTCAAGTTAGGTTAGCCTTCAAAACTTTCTCATAATGCACTGAACAGGAAGCTATACCATGAAAATAGAAAGATGATGCTAGACAGGTTACTTCTATCTCATGGACCTGTCTGGGTCACACCACCACCTAGTAAAATCCTGAACAACAACAACAATTTTAAGGAACTAAAGTCCACCCCCTACCCAAGACCACAATCTACTCCCACCCCACCTTGGCTCAATGGTTTTCTCCCACTGTGGTCAGGGTGGTTTTGGAAAAGCTCCTCAAATGCCAGGAAACACTGTAATACAAAAAGAAAAAAACAATTCATAAGTACCAAAATTTAACTAACGTTTGGCCTCTCTCTCAAGAAAGAATGATATAGTAGAAAAAAACCCCACTCTCTAATAACCAAGAAACAACATATATACTTTGTCCAGCAGCCATACTAAAATTTTTGCCATAAATCTAAGTAACACAGGGGAGGGAGACCAAGGCATACATATCTCTTACTACTAAAGGTTGCTAATCTGGTAGAATAAACCAGAAGATACTGATGGCCATCTCTGGCACACACTGGGGTGAAAATAAAGTCATCAGAAAAGAGCAGAATTAAAGAATAGGAAGAGAAATTCTTAGTGACAAAATTATGGACTCTTTCCATTCTTCCTGAAGCTTCTTTCCCTCCTTACATTCATTTGTATTAGATTTCTGCGACTTGCAAGTAAAAGTCTAGTCAAAACACTCTTCTCTCAACTGCAGTTTCCTTTTATGAAATGGGCTAGATGTGAGCTTTCAGAAACTTTATTTTAGGTATTGAAACCATTTTTGTTTTATTTTAAGCAAAATTTTATTTTAGTATCTAAATGGCTTTATTCCTATAAATAAATTTTAGATTAAATTTACATTTACTTTTGACCAAAATTAGGAAGAATATTTATATTCTGAGACTGTTGTTTTGTGCTGTCAACAGTGACTTATTTGAGACTAAAAAAATTAAAATTACTATTTATATAAATATACTTTCTGGTTTAAGATTTAACTATGACCAAAATCAAGATGTTTAAAATCGGAAACCAGTAGTAAAAAGATGTAGACTTTCATTAGCTTTAACATTTAATATATTTCTACTCGTGGTTGCTGTGTTGTCAACACTGTGACACTGATGTGTCAAATGCAATAATGGTTGTCCATGGTGGACAGTGTTTGATGGAGCTCTCAAATTAAAACAAGCTTGGAAGCAGGAGTGGCATCCACTTCCAAAATAGCCTGCCTCCAGAAACTCTATAACTTGGAGAAATGATGAGATTTATACAAGTGTCCAGGTCTTTCATTCATAGGGTCGCTATGAGTCATCTACAACTCGATGGCACTTAACAACAACATATTTCTACTTACATTTTGAACATATAAAACTGAGACAAAACTGATTCATAATGAATAGCTGCAAAAGAGTAACTGTGTTTTCTATATCTGCTTTATCCCATTATCACACTTTTGTCGTAAGTGCTCTTTAAAAAAAAAAAGTACATTTTTTTAAAAAGCACGAGTTTGGGTGTTTGGGTGGGGTTTTTTTTTGTGTGTGTTTGTGTTTTTTTGGGGGGGGGTGTTGTTTGTTTTTTGTTTTTTTAAAAAAAACAGGATGACCAAATGATTAAAATTTAGTAAGATAAATAAGCATTTGTGTGCCAGGTTTTACATTTTCTGATTTTACATTCATTTAAAAATTAAATATGAACCAAATATTTATAGAATGCCATTAGTGTCTTCCAGAACTCTAATAAATCAATACTAACAGGAAATTGTTTGTCATGAGCACACATATAAAAAGTTCTAATACGCTTTTAAAAGTCTACTTTTAAGTAATATTTTACTCATCTTCAGTCACAAGCTTAAAGTTGTGAGTATAATAAAGTAATAAAATGATCGAATGAGAATATCATTATAATAATCTACTCCATTTTTTACTGTGAACCAGTTTGGAAGAGTAGATCATAATCAGTGAAAAAAAAAAAAATCCCGTTTCCATAAAACTGATTCTGACTAATGAGGACACTATCTGTGGCTAAACAGAACTATGCCCCATAGGATTTTCAGTGGACCCAAATCTCCAATCTTCAGATTAGCAGTTGTACAAATTAATCGGTCAGAAACTTCAATCAGATCATACAAAATGCTCTAAAATATTCATTACTTAAAACTGCCTGCTTTACAAAGACAGAAATAAACTCTCCACTTCTACTCATAAGAAGTTAACAAAGCAGATAATATAATACATTTATTCATTACCTGAGGGTATCCTTAAGGTACTGGGATTAAATATACACTATACACATTATACAAATGGTCTGACTTTCATAAATGTTGTTACTCTAGCAAGGAAGTACAAGTTAACTATATAGAAGTTGTAATTCAATGATCCAGTCAGTCTAATGATGAAGAAAGTCTCTCTTTATCTCTGAAGTAGTTCTGAATCTTAAATTAACCTTTGGAATGAGTAAAAACTATTATGAAGGATGTAGATAGTGTTTCAGGAATGAATAAGGATATGCTGAGTTTCAAAGACCAAAACAATGAAGTATTACTATAAGAAAGAAAAGGGGTCAGGATAGAGAATGAAGTCAAGGACAAGCTGCTGTTGATGCTGCTATTTGGGATTGAAAATCATGCAAATAAGTTTCAACTTTAATATAATGTAGTGGATCACCAATGAAGGGTTTTCAACAAAAATAATGTGACTGAATTAATCAAGTCCAAATGTAGAACAGTTAAGAATTTACTGTGATTCAAAGTCTAGCCAACTCAAGTAGTGCTGTGGCATCAGAATCAAGTAAAAACTGACCCTCCAGCAGGTATCCAAGGTGTAGAAGAGGAGATTGTACCATTTTATCCCAGAGAGCCACTGACGGATTGAACCTTTGAGTTAGCAGCACAACACAATAAGATGAGTAACTACAAAGGAACACAGGAATTCAAATGAAGGAGTAATAGACTCAGCCCAAGTATAAGGGGAAATAAAGGGTGTCAGAGTAATAATACTGTAGCTCAATTTTAGAAGACAAGGAGTTACCTAGTGAAGTTGAGAAAGAGAATTTATGTATTAGGTGAAGAGTGTATGAAAGACGATGACTTTGACGGCACCTAACAACATGAAAAGCATGTTTGGGAAATTTCAAATAACCACTCATAGTGGATTTTGAATAAGATAAAATAAAACCGAAAGAGTATGTCAAACAAAAGAGAATAAAGATATAACAAACTAAGAAATTAGACATCTCGAGGGCTTAATTCCCCCCCGCCCCAATTCATTGCCATTGTTGAGTAAGGACCAAGTCATCGCTGGCTCGCCAATGGATTTTTGGAGGCTGGATTGGCATCCACTTCCTAAACAACATGCCTCTGGAAACTCTGTGAACTTTGATAAATGTCGATAGTTATAGAAAAGCTTGAGGCCTTTTGTTCAAAAGGTGGGTATGAGTCATGCTCAATTAGACAGCAATCAACAACAACAAACTGCATGAAAAGAGACTGTCCATCTTTTTCTCATAGAACAACTGGTAGATTTAAGCCACCCCAAAATTGCCACATTTCGGTTAAAGTACAACTCCCTATGGACTATGCCAAATGCTAACATGATGCATAGGTTTACATCTTACATCATATCAAGGACTGTTAGTCTAAGGAAGACAAGGAGTCTAACCATCAAAACAACAGGTTTGCCATTACATTGTCTCAAAGCACAGCCTAGTAATTTATCTTGACAATCAAATAAGGTCCAAGTGAGTACTTTGTGCTTTTAAAACCAAGCAATAATACCAAAACTTAGATCACACTGCAAACTGGCATGGCTACTGAACCAAAGGAGAAGAAGGAGCACAAAAGGAGTCTGTAGATAAAAACTGTAAAAATGTAATGATTATAGATGATAAATGGAAAAAGAGAAACAACTAGGAAGACAGGGTATACCTAAAAAAACAATTTCAAGATAACAATTACATCCATTTGTCAGTTTTACACAGAACCACTACCTGTCTGTAATAATTGATTTGTAATTACTGATTTGAATCTGAAAACAATTCAAACACCAAATTTTATATTTATATACATTATGAAAACAGTCAAAGACTAGATTAGAAACACTGATCTATAGCAAAGGAATAGCCCTATTAACAGCAAACTTCCCCAGCTTACAGGATTTTGCACACTTTGCTAATTCTTGAGATACTAACTAAAACGGGAGAAAGGATGTTAGTTTATGAAGTTGCTGTTGGGTGCCATTTAGTTGTTTTTCAGTAGTACTAACTCCACGTAATAGAGTAGAACTGTCCCATAAGATTATCTAGGCTGTAATCTTTATGGGAGAGTAGATTTCTAGGCTATTCTCAAACACAGTGGCAGATAGCTTCATAATCAACCTTCCAGTTAACAGTCAAGAATTTAACCATTGTGCCACAAGGGCTCCGTGGAGTAGCAGCTGCAATTTCACAAAGGTTCCTGATCAACACACTCAACAAGTTCATCAACACCTTCCAATTATTTTTCTTCGTATAACAAACATGGCTCAAGTTACGTGAGAACACAGACATACCAAGAACCTAATTATTTTATTTTTAAAAAATTAATCCTACCTTTCCGGGATCATCCTTGGATCGAGGCACTTTAAGGAAACACTTGTTCAATGACAGATTATGTCGTATTGAATTCTGAAATCGAAGTCGGGGGGAAAATACAAAACAAATCTTGGGTCAATAGAATTCAAAATCAAAACTCACTTTTGAATACAAAATCTAAAATCTATACATATTTGTTCACTAGGACACAACACAAATAGATTTAAGTTTTTTAATCGAGAACTTCAATTTTTTTATTTTCAAAATTTTAATGTAACAGAAAAACAGTTGGAACAGACAATTTCTAGTAGGTTTATTTAAAAAAAACTAATGAAATTTATGGAGCATTTTAAATGCTCATTAAGACCTCTGAATAGTGCAGGATGATTTCTATTAAAAAGGTACACTATCAAAAATGACAAAGTTCTGCCACTTTTCATGTATCTTACAAACCTAAACACTTAAGCTGCTTAGGTAAGAACAACAAAATCTCTCATCCACATGACTCTGGCAAAGATTCACTGCTTCTGGGGGAAAAATAAAACCTTCGATCTCTAAGAAAATCAAGCAAACTTTTTCCCAGGACACAGACAAAGATCTACTGCTGCTAGAGGAAAGGTAGAAGCAAAAACTCTTGTAGAGAGGTTAAGAAATTGCCTTTGGCTCAGAATTCGACACCTAACCACAAAGACCGTTATACACACAGAAGAAGAGAAAAAAAATTGCACCAGTGTCAGTCTGGAAACTAAGGTACACCTGATCCAGGCCACAGTCATAATTACTCACTATGAGTCAGAAAGATGGACAATGACTTGGGATGACAGAAGGAGAACAAACAGGTTTGTCCTGGAGAGGCTGAAATGAAAGCAGGCTGCTTCTTGGATTCTGAGCCTTTGTCTGGCATACTTTGGGAATGGTGCAAGGAGGAACCAGCTCAGCTTCTTGAATGTATGCATTGCATACAGATTTAACAAGATATAATCCTGGCACAAACCTTTCTGACTGTAAACCATGCAGAAGAACTGATGCCTCTGAACTGTGAAACTGGAAAAGAATACTTAATATACCATCAACTGCTAGGAGAGCAAACCATGCAGTGTTCCCTTGTTCTGTTCGGATAGCTGCTTCTTGGTCTGTGTCTAGGTTTTTCATGAGCACAAATAAACGGTCTGAATTCAAGTTCTTTACATTGCTATTCTGTTTTGATCCACACAACCAAATGCCTTCTGCACAGTTAGTAATACACAAGTAAATATTTTTATTATTGTCTCCTCTCAGCCAAAAATCTTCTGACTTCAGCAATGATAGTCCTCATTCCGAATTCAAACTGATTTCATGATAGTCCCTATTTATGTACTTTTCCAGCTGTTTCTTAATAATCTTCAGCAAGATTTTACCTGATGTAACACAGTGTTTATTATCTATCCACTCTTTTCTCGTTCTCTATCCACCTCCTCCATGTCTATTTTATAATAGTGGTGTTGGGCAGTATTTGTACTTTTGTGACTGAGATATTTCACACGGTATAGTGTCTTCCAGACTCCCCCATGAATAGATTTCAAAACTATAGTACAGTCACACACTGGATTATGCAGCACTGAAAAACAATGCACTCATAAAACATTATACCTACGCTGCATTGAAAAACAAGGAACTCATGCAATATTATTCAAAATGGGTGATCCTCAAGGACATTATGCTGAGTGAAGTATCTCAGTCACAAAAGGACAAACACTGTATAGTGTCACTGCTGTAGAATGGGACTTACATCAGGGTTAGGGTAAGAATGAGAAAAACTGGATGAATTATGTTTACTGCACTGAAACCAAGAAGGGAAAGAACAGTTTAAAAGCAATCTATTTTAGGGCATTATGATTATCATGAGTCTGGAATAAAGGTTGCAGAGTGGAGCATACTCAGGGTGGGGGTGGGAGGGTGTGGGGGGATTGTATACCAATGA